CCCATGGAGCGAGGAATCTAACTCCTCAGAGAGGATTAACGCTCGAAAGAGACATCATACTCACAATAACCCTCAATGGTGAGGGGGGTTGATGCCTCAAGGGGATATCCTGGTGATCGGGAAAAACCCCTCAGGGCGACCCGGATACGGTAGACCAGTCAGGGTAGCATGAAAGCGTAAACCCCAGCCCGGACGTCCAGGAAATTTTTTTGCAGTGACACCGGGGGCCTGATAATTACAAAACTCCCGCAGAAGCCTGTGTTATAGCCGCATGATCCAGGAAGTATGAAACCGAAACCTTACTTACCTTCTGGACATATCTCGACGAGTGAAATAAACACTGCAAGTCGAGCACCCGGTTTCTGAACCCAGCACGGGAAACACTGCAAAGAAACTAGCAGAAGGGTACACACAACCACCAGTTCCATAGCACATACATATATTTATATACATATATTTAGACATGGATCGTACTCACCCACCACGGCTCCCGCGTTGGAGCTCTGTCCGGAAAAGCCTCTAGACCGGACCTTCAGTAAGGTGGTTACTATGATTAACCATAGAACGGGGTAGATGTTACATCCCCTGAGGGAAAGAGTGGATACCTAAGTATTACTCTGATCCGGACGAAAGCTCTGACGCCTTGTCTGGATCACATCCCTCAGGTCTTGCCTACCTCCCTTCGACCCACGATACTTCCTACCCCTACCCGCAGGCGGAGGAGGAGCGCGAGTCGCGACACTAGCCTTCTGTGCTCGTCTCTGATCCTCAAATCGAGACGGGCCAGGACCCCTGGTTTGTTCGGGCTCAGACCTGGACCTTCGTGGAATGAAGGTTTTGAAGGCCGCTGAGCGTGCCTTCGCCTCCCTGAACTTTTCGATGACCGTCTCAACGGATGTACCAAAAAGTTCAGAGGGCGAAACCGGGGCATCGAGAAGAAAACCCCTTTCTTTCTTCCCGATGTCTGCCAGGTTTACCCACAGCTGCCTCTCCGTTACTACCATCGCTGCCATAGATCTGCCCATGGCAGAGGCAGCCTGCTTAGTAGCACGAAGAGCAAGATCCGTGGTGCGGCGTAACTCAGCCATCTCATCAGAAGAAAGGCCCTCGCCTTTATCCAGGTCTTTCAGCAGATCAGCCTGGTATGCTTGAAGCACCGCCATCGTGTGCAGTGAAGCAACAGCCTGACCTGCTGCTGCGTATGCCTTGCCATTCATTTTAGATGTAGCTTGAAGAGGCATGGATGGCAAGGAGGGAGTTTTGAGAGATGATGTCTCTCCCATAGAGAGATAGCTAGCTAGCGTCTCTTCTACAGGGGGCATTCTCTCATAGCCGTTTTCGCGCACCGCCTCGATATTCGCATAACTGGTATGCTGAAACCGATGGATGCGTGAGGAAAACGGCTTCTTCCATTCCTTCTCGATCTCAGTATGGAGATCAGGAAGGAAAGGAAGACTCACCTGAGCTGGAGGGTTATGGCCAGAAAGATAACGTTCGTCGAGACGACCTCGCGACGCCACTTCCTTAGTCCGCTTCCATGGCAAGTCAAGTCTTGCCGTGGCGCGATCCATAACCTCTAAGAGCTCATCATACGCAGGGCAGGAGGATTGAGAAGGCTCAGCCTCAGCTTCTTCGCTCTCATCATCCATTTCCTGCTCTTCCTGGGCTGAACCCAGCAGAGCACTGGCCCCTGGATCAGATGATGTTAAAGAGAGAACATCATCCTCCAGTGGCTGTCTCTCGCCCCCCGCCGATGAGCGCGAGAAGGAAAGTCCCTCTCTAAACTCATCGGCCAGGTCCACCTGAGATCCCCACGAGCTCATTCTCCTCCGTGCCTCAGCAGCGGAGGGTCCTGAACCGCGGGAAGCAGATGGCTGCCCCTCTTTACTTGAAAAGAGAGACAAACGAGAACGGAGTTTTTTCATTGGAAAAAACTCGCAATGCACGCAGATTGCCCCCTCGAGGACATCGCGTGCGTGCTCCTCGCCCAAACAAACAACACATAAATCGTGTGTGTCATCTGGTGTCAAATAGCGCTGCCACGGATGCACACACCTTCTAAATGCTCTACTAGTGCTCGCCATAATAAATAGATAGCTCTTACTTTTTCCTTGAAAATGCACGCTTCAAACAGAACAGTCAATGAAGACGAAGAAGAGAATGATGTGTAGCTCCCGGCGCCGATTTATACTGGAGTCGCACCGGTAGTGACGTCATGGCTGTCGCCGGCCAACGAGTTGGTGTTTTTTCAATGTATGCTTCAGACACGGGTCACGACGAGGCGTTCCCCATAGCGACCCCTAGAGGACGCAGTTCGAAGTTCCCATGAAAGGGAACCAGGTTCAGCTGTGGTTTTGTAGCTAAGGACATCTGAAAGTCTATTTTTGCACACATGGATGCAACCATTCAAATGAGCATTTAGTGCAATTTATTTGTTCAAAACAAATGCTATTTAGGTTTTATTAACAATGACAGTTAAAATATATTTTTGCACAAAAAATGGAGGGAAATGTGGACAAAGACATTTCATTCGCTTCTCATCTGCAAAGAGAACAAAATGTTATATATATATATATATATATACTCTCTCTCTCTCTCTCTCTCTCTCTCTATATATATATATATATCATCAAAGTTCAATTTAAAGCCAGTCGCACAGAACTAAACTTAATGCAGCACGAAACAAAGGACAAAAGCAATGTGATCATATCTAATTTTCCTTAAAATTGACTCCATTATGTTTGACCTCCACTCACATTAATCTCTTTCACAAACCGCAGGCTTTAATATCGAAACGGGAAAGCTGATGGAGGGACCTAAATACAGAAATCACTGGGCTATAATAAGAATAATTAAAGAAATAAAATAAATGACTTACAATTCCCCAAACAAGTCATACATTTCCCGGAGACGTGCTTTGGAGCAACTTTTAGTCACTCAAAGATGTTCGGTTAACTTTTTTAGCTTTACTGAAATAGATTCTTCTAACAGGATCTTATTTGTTTCGCAAGTAAAACAGAATGAGAAGGTGGGCCTCAAATGATGATGTGAAGGTGGGTGTTGGGTGTTGGGTGTTAAGTGACGCTTTTAGCAGAGGCCACCGCTGACAGACAGACTGAAGTTGAACAGAAAATCTGTCCTCATAAATATGCTAACAGGCCCAGCCCCTGTCAGACTCTTTTCTCTCACCTCTCTCACGCCTTTCCTCCATTCATCTCACCCCTCTTTTCCTTCCTCCTGCACACACCTCATCTCCTCTGACAGGTCAGTGCTCCATTTGTTCTTTCTGACTGATGACATCTATGAGAGCAACTTTTGTTCTTCTCCAAAGAGAGAGAGAAAGAAAAATAAGATCGTCTTCAGTGCTGGTTTGTCAAGGTGTTCCGTGTCTGTTCTCACTTCAAAATGCCTCTCTGTAGGGAATGTTTTGAAGATCTCTGCTGTGTGCATGCATGTGTGTGTGTGTGTGTGTGTGTGTGTGTGGCACTGCCAGATGTCTGATGTCTGAGGTGACAGTGAGACGTGGTGGAGGCTCATCAGACCCCTAGCAGTTCTCTGAGGGGCCTCGGGGGCCCCTGCCTAAGCGTCTGAAGCGACAAGGCGCCAAAAAAGCGATAAGCGGAGCAGGACAGGAATGTGAGCGCAGAGAGGCTGCAAATCCCAGGTGTGCTGTCTGTTACGTGGGAGCGGGAAGAGAGTCGGACAGCAGATAAGATGACAAAAGAACGACGGAGCCGGGAGCGTGACGGGAGGGGGGGAACCAAATGAGAAAGGGGAAGAAAAAGAGAGGCAGAGAGCCCCTGTGAGTTGAGCTCTGTGTACACAGCTTTTTTGACATTTAGACCTCTCAACTGCTGTAGTCTCGCTATCAGACCTGTTTGTGACACGGCCCCACTGAGACTTCATGACAAAAAAGGCTCCAAAAAGGCTTTGAAATGACAAATGTGCCATCATAGGCTGTGGATTTGAACAGCTTTTCTCAAACTTTCTCTAACGGACAATGGCTTATAGTTTAGGATATCAGTGAAATTGTGACTCGTTTAAACAGCGGGTTCTAACCTCTGAGTGAACCTTTTTTTTTCTCACTGAGCATCTGAGTGAAGGGCTGTCATTCCACTTGTCAGTAAGCCTATTTAGTTCAGTGAATGAACGTTAATCTGTCTTTAGTGCCTTTGGCCTATTTCCTTAGTGTACTGTCTGCACACTTTACATACACACACACAAATCAAAGCACACATGTGTAGGCCAGTCATTTGGGCCAAGGCGGAAGTATGTTTTTGTGTATGTTGCTGTCAATGTAGGCCATGCGTCCAGGATAACACAAAGTATCTGTGAAAGAAAGAAAAAAAGAATATATATATATATATATATATATATATATATATATATATATATATATATATATATATATATATATATA